GCAGTGGGACTCGGGAGCAGCCGCTGCTGCAGCTCCCACTGCCGCGGGGGGAGGAAGCGGCCGATGGCCAAGCTCGGCGGCTGTGGCTCTGGCGCCCCCGAGCCCTCCAAGCCTGGGCCTGTTATGGGGACCCAGCAGCGCGCACGCTGCGCCCAGCCCCTGGCCAGTCATGTCTGGGCTGCTGCCCAGCTGGTGCAATCCCGCGGCGGCCCCGAAGTGGGGGCAGCAGGCCCCAGCCCCCCCGTCCCGCTCGGGTCCAGCAGGGGAACGAACGGGGCTGGGCTGCTGATGCCTCCCCCCAGGGCCGCTGCGGGATAGCACTAGCTGGGCATGCAACTGGCCAGGGTCTGGGTGCAGTGTGCGCGCTGCTGGGTCCCCGCAACAGGCCCAGGCTCGGGAGGTTCAGGGGCGCCAGAGCCGCAGCCGCCAAGCTTGGCCATCGGCTGCTTCCTCCCCGCGCGGCAGTGGGAGCTGCAGCAGCTGCTCCCGAGTCCCGCTGCCCAGGGGGAGAGAACAGCCACCGCCTGGCCCCACGGGCTGCCCCCCTCCTCTCCCTACCGCCCGACTGAGTCCTGCCTGCACTCGGGGCCAGGCCGGACTCTCACTCACCCCGGCCCCACGCTCCCCCTGCGTCTCCGGGGCCTCCCTCCACAAGCGCTGGAGGGAGGAGGAATGGTGAGCCTGGGGAAGAGGCGGGGATTCGGGGAGGGAGCCAATGGGGGAAGGAGGGAGTGGAGTCGGGGCAGGAGGGCGCGAGCACTTCCGGGCTCTGGAGTATTTGCTTGTTTGTCCCGTGTCCCGACCTAACGTTGGTCGGGACGCGGGACAAACAAGGAAATATCGGGACAGTCCCGATAAAATCGGGACGTCTGGTCACCCTATTCTGGGGTGCTCATTCTGCCAGATAGGTAGCGACCCTTTCTGAAGGAAGGCACAGGTACTTTGTTATTATTTACTGTGTTAGACTCTTATCAGTTCAGTCCAAAAGACCTTAGGCTGCCCAGGCATTCTCTACCAAATCTGTTACCTGCACACATTAGGGCACCCCACTTTTTCCCAGTCCATAGGGTTCCAGGCGTAACCTGGTTAATTTAGGCACCCCCATCTTTTCCCAATTGGTAGGACTCCAGGCAAAAAGCACCTACCTGTACCCAATTCGTAGGGCTCAGGGTGTAACTAACCTGGTCAATTTAAGTACCCACACCCTTTCCCAGTACATAGGGCTCCGGGTGTATACTACTACTGCAGGTTTGGAGGACCTTTTACCAGTGAAAGAGCCTTGCACAGTAATATACTACATAACCTCTATTTATTAACAATCACCAAAACCAGACTGCACACGCTACACATACAGTGCTCACCACTCCCAATAAGCCAGATGAACTTTTCTTGATGGCTAGTCAGGATCAGGTCCATCTAGGGGACTCCAGTTTCTGCACAGTGTCATTGGCAGAGTGTTGAGGTCTGACAGCTCTGATCTTTGGGGCTGTGTCCTGGAGGAGAACTTCCTTTTGGACCCCAGTTTATATAGTGAAACTTGAGTCCTGCTTAGCTGTACCTTAACCAATCATTATACTGAAATCTATCTAACCAATCCTAACATAGTGTAACAAAATTCTCTAATCAATTCTACCCCACCTTAATTAATTAATTTATACCTAGCAAAATTAATTATGTAGCAGACAGAAACAATTAAAGAACCATACAGAGACCATACAGATGAACAATAGGGAAGTGGGGACCATAATGACAAAACAATAAAGAAATGAGGATTTTACAACTATTGATTAGTGATTTCTTGACAGACAGAACGGTGTCAAGGGTAGCTAAGTTTTCTTTAGCCATCTGAAGATCTGTTTCTTTATCTGGTGACAGTGGGTGTTATTAGCACAGGGTCTCCTTCTTAACAGCCTGATATTACATTGTTTTAATGTCATTTAGATGGAATGTGAGGATGTGACTTCCTGCTTCTCAGCCAATGGCTGCTGCTCGGCTGCTCTTTTAAACTGGCTGCAGACGAAGGCCTTAGCCTTACAGAGACGGTCTGGAAGATCAGATGGGTCAGGACTGAGGCTCCTCCTGGGCTCTTGTCTCTCTCATGATCTATGCAATTTTTATTATCTCCTCAATAGATTTGCTGCAATGCTGTATTACTGTTACTAATTAATGTTTTAGAAAAGGGAATGAACAGTGAGATGCCATAAGTTGCAGAAAATAAAATCATTGAAATTAGTTAAGACTAAAGAAGACAGTGTGGAATTTCAGAGGGAACTAAACAAGCAATCTGAATGGTCAGTGTGAGGAACATCCACCAGAAAATTGGTGTGGGAAAGAGCAGCTACGCTCTGCACCTCCAAGCTGGGAGGAGGTGGAAGCGGCACAGAAAGGATGCCCATTGGCACACTGGGCAACCCCCCTTGGTAAAACATGAAAGTAAAACTCTTACACCAGAACAGGCTAGAGCCATGGGAAAGCACGTGGGCCCTTGTGACCAAGATACAGTGCTTAACTGGTTAGCCAAATTATCTGTTACACCACATTTGTCTCAAGATGATGTGATATGTATACTAAGTGAATGTATGTCTAATGATGATTTTGCAACTCTTCCTTATAATGTATTAATTGATGCAAATAATGAACCATCTACTATCTATTCATTTGTATTTTGATTGTTTTATCCACATGATAATGTAATGGGCAAGGCATATTCAGAAAAACAGAGTGTAGATGAAAGGCCAGAAAAATATTTTCTGAGGAAAAAAATGTTATTCTGGTTGGCTAGACTAGGGGTAAACTGAAATGGGATAATCACTTATGATACACGAGAGTTAAGAGAACTTTATGTGCAGGGTTTATCTCCTAACATACGGCTAGCTATAGCCAACATTAGGCTGCCTTTACTAGAAGCAAGAGCATGGGAGATTTTTGAACTCCAGCAACTAGTCCATCAAGGAACATCAGCAAAAAAGAAGGTAGCTGCATATAATAGTAAGGAGACAACAAATGGTAAAAGCAGCCACACAGGACAAAGTTCTGCCACTACTAAACCCCTGGACAACAGAAACGTTATGTTTAGAGGAACTGGAGATGAGATAAGGATTTTTAAAAAGCTTATGCTAAAAATATTGTCTCAGTATGAGCCATGGGACAAGCTAAATAAGCAGAGACTGTCAGCAGAGGACATGTTTCTAAAATTGGCTAAATATGAATTGGGCAAAAGGCTGGAGGGCCAATCTCCGACACTCCGGTAGAGTCTGTCTCCACTCAGCAGTATTTACTGAGGAAGCCGAGCTTCCCGAGCCCCTGTAGTTAACGACGAATGGGGCAGGCCTACAGTAAAAATTAAAATAATGGGAAGCTTCGGAAAAATAGAACAATCAATGCTGGTGTATACAGGGGCCTCCACTAGTTTGTTATGTCTCAAGGGAAGTCCTATAGCTAAGAACTTGCCAGTAAGAGAACTGAAATCTTTGGTCTCATATAATGGTAAAGAAAATGTCATTCCTTTTACTTATGAAGTTACATGCCATATTGGGTCTCTATCTACACAGGTCTCATTTGGACTGCAAAAACTGGATGGTACAGGCATATTAGGAATAAATCTGTTGCAGCAATTGGATATAACTATTGACTTACCTGATAGGATGTTGATTCAAGCTGAACACGTAGAAGCAGGTATTCTAATCCCTGCAACACACCACATCTGTGCTGCCAAGGCTCCAGAAGAACTGCAGCTTCCTGTATGGGAGACAGAAATCCAACAAGTTACCAAAAAATCCAACAAGTTACAAGGAGGTGTTTGCTCCTAACAAACTAATTTGCGGAAAGGTCCAAGCCTCAATAAAGGTAGAAGGTCCTGATCCAAAGCCTATACATCAATACCGGTATTCTGCAGAGGCGAAGGAGAGGATTCGACCCACAATAGAGGCATTATTGAATCAAGAAGTGCTGATACCTTGTCAAAGTGTCTGAAACTCTCCTATCTGGCCAGTTAGAAAGGTTGATGGAAGCTCCTGGAAGTTAACCGTGGACTATAGGGGATTAAACAAGGTGACACCCAGGTTGGCCCCCGTTGTTGCTAAATTTCCAGAGGTGATGAATTTAATCACCGAAGGTGCGTGCTGGTACAGCGTCCTAGACATCTCTACTGCCTTCTTCTCCATACAACTCCATCCCTCCTACTACTATAAATTTGCCTTCACTTATGAAGAACAACAAGACACCTTTACAAGGGTTCCCCAAGGGTATCACAATGCTCCAAGTTTATGTCATTGCAGCGTAGCAGCATTATGGAAAACCGCCTCCTACCGTGACAACATTGTCAGTTATGTAGATATACTGATAGCTACCACAAACAAGCAAGACAACATCAAAGCTCTAGATGAAGTACTAGGAATTCTGAAAACAGCAGGTTCTTAGTAAACCCAACCAAAGCCCAGCTAGTTCAACAGCAAGTAGTCTACTTAGGGGTGCAACTGGACCCTGCCAGGAGGAAACCTGATATCAGTCGAATAGAGCTAATATCTAAACTGCCTGCTCCAACAGATGTTGGTACACTCAGGTCCTTCCTAGGCCTGGTTGGTTTTTCCAGGGAAGGTTATAGTGAGAAGGCAAGCCATTTTACCAGCTACTTAGGAAAGGCCAACTATGGAAGTCGGTAGAGGAAGAGCAAAGAGCCGTACAAAAGCTGAAGCAAGTCTTAATGGAAGCATCTGCACTGGCATTCTCGCAGGTAAACAAACCCTTCCACCTCTAACTAGCAACCACTAACACAGCAATCACCGCTATCCTACTGCAACATCATGGAACTTCCTTGAAGCCCATAGCATATGGGTCCAGAGTGTTATCAGCAGTGGAACAGCAATTCACTGACTGTGAACGAGAGGTATTGGCTCTTGAATGGGTGCTGGCTCATTGGGAGTATATAGTGGGCATGGCTCCTATAGTGTTAAAGACCCCACACACTCCTGTGAAGTATGTGCTGACTGAGAGAGCCAACTCTGGAAGAGTAAGCCACCCTCGTCTAGCTAACTGGACCTTAGCTTTGATCAACAAAGAAATACAGGTAGAAAAGGTTGCACGTCCCAGCCTGGCACCATTCGCACTTTGCGTTCCTGCACCAAAAGAGCCCCTGATAAATCATGAGTGTCCTCTTCCCGAGAATATGAATCCTGAGATCATATCACCTTTCAAGTTAGAATCAGTGTTTGAAGAAGCTAAAACTTATAACCGAGACCTGTGGGTTGTGGATGGAAGCAGCATGTACATCAACGGAAAAGCAGCCACAGGGTTTGCAGCTTTACATGTTGCATCTGACAAAGCATTCCAAGGAGCCATTGCACACAACTCAGCCCAGGCTGCAGAAATAGTGGCAATTATTGTAGCCTTGGAAAATGCTGAAATTTCCACAGATATTACTATCTGCACAGATTCTGATTGGGCAATGATGGCATTGCTGGACTGGATGGTTATTTGGAAAACAAGAGAAATGAGATCAGCAGATAACCAGCCATTGCTTATGCCCAATATCTGAAATATGCATGGCAGTTAGCTGAGTCCAGGAGGGTGACACTTTCTTGTTTAAGGTTAAGGCCCACCGAAAGAATAAATCCGAAATCACTCTCCTGAATAGCAAGGTGGATCGACTGGCAAAACAAGATGCAAGCTTGGACCAGAGTTCAGATAGGATAAGGTTGTGACGTTGTGCAGTCTATATGGTTTTATAAAAATATAAGTGAATATAATGTAACTTGGATATGCTTCATGCAAAAGGTCTCTTGTAAGGTATCATTACAAAGCTCATAATCTACTGAGTGTGATCATCCTATTTGTAGAAATGTACCACTCTTGTATATAAAACTAGAAATATAAAACATAACTCTGAGGGCCTATTGTAATTATGTAAAGTGTGGGCCATTAAGGATGGTTTGGAATCTTGATGATTCCCATTGTCTGCAGATGGCTGTATTTACCTGTGAGTCTTCCTGTACATGTGTGTGCTGGCAAGTGAGTAAAATGAAGTCTTGCAGTGACATGTGATCATGTCACCTGAACTGGAATCCATCTTTAACCTGGTGCTTTTCCAGTGAGGGGGGGTGGAAACCCAGAGGGACAAAGGGTTCCCGCCTTATGCAAAAGATATATAAAGGGGTGGAAGAGAACAAGAGGGGGAGGAGCCATCATGAAGAATCCCCTAGCTATCACCTGAGCTGCAACAAGAGCTGTACCAGGGGAAAGAATTGTGCCCAGGCCTAGAAGGTGTCCAGTCTGAGAAAAAGCTTACTGAAGTATCTCTGAGGGTGAGATTATCTGTATTCAGTTTGATTAGACATAGATTTGCGCATTTTATTTTATTTTTCTTGGTGACTTACTTTGTTCTGTCTGTTACTACTTTGAACCACTTAAATCCTACTGTCTGTATTTAATAAAATCACTTTTTATTTAGTAATTTACTCAGAGTATGTATTAATACCTGAGGGAGCAAACAACTGTGCATATCTCTCTATCAGTGTTATAGAGGGCGAACAATTTCTGGGTTTGCCCTGCATAAGCTTTATGTAGGGTAAAACGGATTTATTTGGGTTTAGACCCCATTGGGAGTTGGGCATCTGAGTGCTAAAGACAAGCACACTACTGTGAGCTGTTTTCAGGTAAACTTGCAGTTTTGGGACAAGTGATTCAGACCCTGGGTCTGCGTCTGGAGCCAGACGGGAGTGTCTGGCTCAGCAAGACAGGGTGCTGGAGTCCTGAGCTGGCCAGGAAAACAGAAGCAGGGGTAGTCTTTGCACATTGGGTGGCAGCTTCCAAGGGGGTTTCTGTGATCCAGCCCGTCACAAAGGTAAAAGCAACCATTGATGCCTTAACATCAACAGATCCCATTGATCACCAGGACATCATAAGGCCCAGAAATTAAGCAGCTAGTAAAGGATGGCAAATACAAATTCTATACCATTAAACATCATTCATCTGGTTTAATTATGGCAACTAAAAACAAGGTTGGAGACCAGGAATCTACAAAGGGTGGTATTCCATTGATTGTAATCCCAACTGTGCTTCAACAAGAACTGATACAACTGGCACATAGACAAGGTCATTTTGGAGTCCAGAAAACACTACGTAAGTTGGCTACTGTGGCCTGGTGGCCAGAGATTGCAAGAGATATGGAGCATTATATCAACAACTGCCTGAGTTGTGCTCAAAATAACCCAGACACCAAAATCATCAAAGGACCTCTTCTCTATCAACCAGTGGATGGTCCATGGCTAAGGGTGCAAATTGATTATATTGGCCCCCTACCTCGAACAAATAGGGGAAATCAATATTGTTTAGTGTGCATTGACCTCTTCTGAAAGTGGATTGAGGCTTATCCAGCACGTAATTGTACAGCTCAAACTACAGTCAAGTTATTGCTGGAAAATGCATTCAGTCGATTTGGTCTACCAAGAGTCATCGATTCCGATCAGGGTCCTCATTTCACCGGGGAAATAACCAAACAACTCTGTATAGCCCTGGTGGTGCATCAAAGATACCATGTAGCAGGCAACTCCCAAGCATCTGGCCTTGTAGAAAGATCAAATAGATCTCTGAAGACTGTACTCTGGAAAGTCATCGATTCCTCAGGCAAAAACTGGGATTTATACCTCCCATTAATTCTCATGGCAATGAGATCCACCATAGGATCCCACGGTTTCACTCCTCACGGGTTATTTGGACAACCTATGGTAACACCGGAACAACGGTGGGTGCCAGGAGGGGTACCCCCTGATGAATATCGACCAAGAGCAATAACAGACCAATATATAAAATCCATGCTAAGGGTCATCACTGGTGTGCAAAGGGCAGTAGCTGTCACCCTACAAGCCAATTGTAGGAAGATGGACCAAAGGCTCAATAATAACCTTAAATTCATTGAATAGAATGTGAGTGATCAAGTTCTATTCAAGTATTATTCAGAAAAAAAAACATCCACTCAGTCCTAGATGGGTTGGTCCTGTTACCATTATAAACAAAGCAAGTCAGACTACTTACCAGCTGGAATTAAAGTCTGGGAAGAAACGAGTCACCAAATGGTTTCACAGCACACAACTCAGAGCGTGGAAGGGAAACATCTGCCCGGACAACACTGTAAAGGAAAAAGAGAGGAAAAATAATCATAAATCACCTTAAGTAAAATTAATATTTTCATGTTTTCTTTTACAGGGTACTGAAGAAAGCATGAACACTCTTGGAAAATATCTGATGTCTATAGTTATGGCATGGTTATGGATTTGTCAAGGTCCAATAGTTCAAGAAAACGAGCATTGGTTTTGTAAAGTTAATGAGAGTCTACTCTACAAATGAAAGATTCCTGTTTTTGAGTATGACCAGGATGAGGATTCAGAAAAAGAGATATATACACAAGAGGACTTTAAAAATGAGGAATATGATGAGGAGTATGACAAGAATTACGAGAAGGAAAACAAAGGAGCTAGAATCCAAATGATGCCAAGGGCCCCAACAAAACCCTTTCCAGGAGGAAGTTAGGACAGAAGCACCGCCTAAGGCACCGCTTAAAATATGCACTTTTGGATTTAAAACAGGGAAAACAAGATCGGCCAGCAACTCGAATCCCTCTCACTCCTGCATATTGGGTCGTCTCTGAGGATGTAATGACTGGATTATCCAGCATTTACTCCTACGTAATGGAAAGGTATTGTTATTTAGTTATAAAGGAGAATAAAGGCAACAACTCACTGGTGTCATTCACCCTACACGACAAATCGAACACATGACCCAGTGCTAAATCCAACTGGACAGCTAAAATATATTAAAAAGTTATCTAATGGATGTGCATGGATGTTGGACTCTTCCCCTTTCATAGGTTGTTCACAGGACATAAAGGATTGGGACTCATCCAAGTGTATCAATTTTAAAACCAATGCACCTTCTACCACAACACCAGGCTTTATAAATATTACTTCTAGCCTACATCACCATAATTTTCAATCCACCTCAATTAAATTACATGGGCACCCCCTTATACCAACGAACATTTAATCATGAATCTATCCTGTCAAATATGCAGAAATCAGTGTTCTCTCTCTTTGACTAATTATGTTTCATCTAAGTTTTGCAAATTGGATGACTCAATAAAACAATACAGCCTCACCTGCACAGGAATTCTCATGGTTAATACTAGTATTTTGCACTCTGGGGTGTGGATTGTTAAGGGGCTGTTTGAACTGAAAACATCATTCAAATTGACCATTGCTCCACCACCACAAACTAGTTACGTGGGACCTTTTGTTGTCAAAAAGGATGTATCAAGAATTATGATTATTGAACCTCAATTCGCCCTAAAGAAGATCATAATGCCTATTCAAATCTTTATCATTCCACTACATCTTCTGTGTGCACCCTTTGTGATGCCCTTATTAATGGGATGGGGAGCATGGCTACAAGGAATCTTGCCATCCTCCTTACAACAAAGGAAGAAAAGGGATGTGATAGTAAAGGTGCTTGGAGGAGTAGGAGCTGGACTTGGGGTAATTAATACCATCGATCAAAACTTCCTTGCCAAAAGAATAGGTGATCTAGGTCATGACATGTCAACCTTCTCGGAGCCACTATCGTCGGCGCTGATGGGATTAGGACCCACTAAATTCAATATTGTAAATATCCTCCCTTATTGGTTGGATATTCAGGAACAAGATCACCTACAGATATTGGGGGCTCTTGGCATCCTGCAATCAAATCTCTCTGAGGCACTTATCTGTATGGAAGCCCAGCAATAGTTATTAAGTGTTGCAAAATCAATTGTAAGATATGGCCTAAATGGAAACATGCCTTTGGAGTTAAAAAGAATAATCGGAAATAACTCCAATGAATTTGAGAAAAGGCATCATGAATGGTGGAGACTCATTAATTTCCCCATAATGAGACTATTATAGCCCTTGTACTCACCTTAAGATCAGCTGTTGAGGAAAGCATCTAGCCTCTTGTTCTGCTAGGAATTTTTGCCAACCAATCCCTAATGGTGCTTTTGTGGAAGAAAGTGCATCTTAAGGGGAAAGAGTATAAACCCATTAATATACAAGCCTGTACTGAGCAGAAAGGATTGGGATACACTTGCACCTCTGCATATAGGAGGAGGCCCATGTGTGCCTAAACTCTTTGTCAGGATCATGTAGTTACGAGCTGCATCACCATTCCCTTGTTAACCAGTCGGCCATAGTGCAGGTAAATAGACACTGTGTCTGTGTAAGACGTCTGTGTCCAATGTTTACTGTAAATAGGTTTTACCATATAATCAACAATTTTACTGCAAATATTTGTTTGTGTCAAGTATCTAGTCTAAGGGGATGTGATATAAATGTGACATTGCATGACCTAGAGTCAGAAGTCATTCAGTCTGAATATCGACTATACGACTACATAGAGCCTATACATATTGGAGCTGACTTAAAGGCTATCAAGAAATTACGACACTGTAAACAGCTCACCTATTATATCAACAACTTAAAAATGGAAGGTCTTAAGACTCTTCTCACGGTCCACCATTCGGTGGATAAAATCAAACGAATCCTTAAGAAAGTAAAGGATGAAACCACATCTCTACATTGGTGGGAAGGTATTTTTATGTGGGTGAAGCTCATGCTGCTTGGATCATCATGCTCCATCCAATTATGGTATTCTTAATCATACAATTTCTTTTAATCATTTATGTAGTTCTACTAAATGTTTATCTGTGCATGACGAGAAAAGGCTATTTTTAGAGGCAATGAATTTCACATTATTAATATAAAGCTACATATTAGAGCTACAACAGAAAATTCAAATGACTGACCTTTGTTTCTGGGGAGCGTTTTTGTACAATCTTTTTACTCTTACTTGTTTCCTTTACTCAAAGGAAGCTCTTGGGGGCAGGAACTGTCAGTGGCTAGCACACTGAGCCTCCCTTCTTGGTCGAGGCACTAAAAGAGTGTAAATAACACAGTAACTTCTCACTTAACGTTGTAGTTACGTTCCTGAAAAATGTGACTTTAAGTGAAACGATGTTAAGCTAATCCAATTTCCCCATGAGAATAAATGTAAATGGGCGGGGTTAGGTTCTAGGGAAAAAATGTTTGCCATACAGTACAGTACTATAGTTGGGAGGTGCCCCCACCTTGCCCCACACAGGCACAGCCCACTGGCACTGGAGACAATGAGGCAGACAAGGAGGCTGAAGGTGCTGTAGGCTAGGAGAAGCATGTTGCACAGCAGCAGTGGCTGCTTCCCCTACTCTGCAAGCACCAGGGGCGGGGGGCTCAACCCTCGGCCCACCCACGCCACTCCTTCCCCCAAGCCCCCACTATTAACCCATCTCTTCTCCCCTCCCCTCTCCCTTTACTCTGCACGAGGCGTCCTCTCTCCTTCCCCTCCCTCCTGCCCGTGGCAATCAGCTGGCTTGCAGCATTCAGGAGGCAGGAGGGAGGGGGGGAGAACATGGCGCGCAGGCTCCCCTTCCCTCCCCTGCCCCCTGAACACTGCAAGCCAGCTGATTGCTGTGGGCAGGGGACGGAGGGGGGAGGTGCGCCGCATCCTCGCTCCTCCTCCCTCCCTCCTGCCCGTGGCAATCAGCTGGCTTGTGACGTTCAGGTGGTAGGAGGGAGGAGCGAGTCCTTGGCACACAGGCTCCCCCTCCCTCCCCTGCCTCCTGCCCACGGCAATGAGTTGGTTTGCGGCGTTCGGGAGGCAGGGGAGGGAGGGGGAGCCTGTGCGCCGAGTCCTCGCTCCTCCCCCTCCCTCCTGCCTCCCAAATGCCGCAAGCCAGCTGATTCCCGCGGGGGGAGGAGGGGGAAGGCGTTGATCCACGGGGTGGGCGGGAGGCGCTGTGGGGGGGCGTAGGAGAGCTGATGGGGGGGCTGCCAGCTGTGGACAAAGCAGGCAGCCAAACGACGTTATAGCAAAGCATTGCACAACTTTAAATGGAGCATGTTCTGTAATTGAACAGGGATGTAAGATCAGAACAATGTTAAGTGAGAGGACCTTAAGTGGGAAGTTACTGTACACAGGAAACATCCACCACAAGACAAAATGCAATACAGTCTAAACTAACTATGCAGAGTCATCCAGAGTAATTCCAAACAAATAGAGAATACAATAAAAGTGTTTTGTGACACATTGGTAGGAAAAAAGCTATACAAAGTTTGAGAAATAAACTTTCCTCCTTATGGAACAATGCTTGTAAGGACTGACAAAAAATTAACAATTATTTCTTTGCAGTTATGGAAATAAACTCATACATCTTGTATAGAGGAGCCTATGTAAATAATATTTTAATATACTATGTTCAAATTTAGCATGTGAACACCATTCCTAGAATCAGAGTGGATGTGCTCTATGTTTTTCATAATTTATCATGTCATTGGATGTCTTTCATAGAATATCAGGCTTGGAAGGGACCTCAGGAGATCATCTAGTCCAACCCCCTGCTCAAAGCAGGGCCAAGCCCTAGCCCAGATCCCTAAATGGCCCCCTCAAGGATTGAACTCATAACCCTGGGTTTAGTAGGCCAAAGCTCAAACCACTGAGCTATCACTCCCCCCACTGACCTTTCCCCTAAAACATCATCTCTGCCCCCAAACACTTTTATAAAAGCATTGAGGAGAAGATAAACACAGTTCATTGATGTAGAAACCCAAAACATGATTTCTTAGGGCTTGTGTACACTTAAAAACACTACAGCGGTGCTGCTATAGTGTTTCAGTGTAGACACTACCTACACTGATGGGAGGCGTTCGCTAGTCAGTGTAGGTAATCCGCCACCCCGACAGGCAGTAGCTAGGTCAACATAAGGATTCTTCTGTTGACCTAGTGCTCTCTACACGGGGACTTAGGTCATCTTAACTACACCACTCAGAGTGTGGATTTTTCACACCTCCTGAGTGATGTAGTTATGCTAACCTAATTTTCTAGTGTAGACCAGGTGTTAATCTAAAATGTAAAAAGAGAAGTGCTTTAAATGTTACTTTCATGGGTAAACAATACTCACTATTCAGCTAGAGATGCTAAGTGTATACTTAGGCTTGTTCAAAATAATGCATCAAATACTTGGACACCCAACAGACACATAGATCACCCCTTCACACGCAGATCTTCCTTCTTCACCAAAGAATGAGGTTTAGCTGCCTTGGCAGCACTGCCTTCCCCCTCATTCAGACCCTGTGGAGGACATCAGGAACAGAAACTGGACAGCGTTAGGGAAATCCTCACTTTCTCCCTTCCAGCTCTGTGGAGCCTATCCTAAGGCTGTATTATCTTTTCTCCAGAGCCCCTCCCTGGGGGCTGGAGCCTTTAGACAGAGAGGATTCCTGGGAATTCACCAGGTTTTGAGGCAAGCTTTGCAATATTTTTCATGGTGGGGTAGGTTCACCTCTGAGTCAGAATTGCTCCACTGCGTCAACCTTATTCCTGAGGAAAAGTAATTTACTGCTGGGCTATACCAGCACCTACTGCATAATGGCTCAGCTACTCTGGCCAGTGAGAGTGTATATGCACACTGTGGAGAGGAAACAGGGGTGAAGCCACGATTGTGCCCATTCTTTGCTCTCTCTCTCCCACCCACTTCCTCTGGGGAGGGAGTAAGTAGCTGAGTAGCCTCCCTTACCCTAGATCCAACCACCAACGGAGCATTTTAGAAGTTCACAACCATATTTGAACATTGTGGTTCGCGCCCATATTTCATAACCAGTTAAACCAAAATCCCAGCTCTAATGCACCCAAATTTTGAAGAAATTTCAGTTCAGATCTGAATCCAAACTTAGTGACTTCCACCACTGCCAGATAAACAAATATAGTACTAGTAGAATACTCTCACTCACTCATGCCCGTCACCCCAATCGGGGTATGGGCCGCCAACCACAGATCTCCAGAGTCCTCTATCCTGGGCCATTTGCTCTAGCTGGTTCCAGGTATAGCCCATTTTTATGCTATCAGCCTGAAGGTCGCGTCGCCAAGTGTTTCTTGGACGGCCTCTTTTCCACTTGCCTTGGGGGTTCCACCGCAATGCCTGTCTAGTGATGTTGGTTCTGTGACCTGCGCCATCTTTCTTGACTCATACATGGTCCTCACGTTCCATGTACTGATGGTAATCCTCCTAGTTGCAAGAAGGGTAATCAGCTTAGTGGCTTCCTCACGACTTTCACCACCTAGCGTCATGCGTCTTCGAGTTGAAGGCCCTTCTTTTTCCAGGCTAAAAGTCTCTGTTATCTCTATTGTTGGCGTTTCTGTAGCAAATTAATTTTTTTTTACGGGGTGGAGTTGCTAGCCCCACGCCCAACCCTCCTCCTTTATCCTGACTTGGGACAGGCAGATGGCCCCAAAGGACCTCTCTGGTGGAGTTACTAGTAGAATAAATAAGTAATAATAATATTTTGCACTTAAAGAGCATCTTCACCCAAGCAACTCAAAGCATTTTAGCATTCATCAGCACCAATGTACATACTCTCTTCAGTATTTTAAGATATACATGTGTTTGTACAAGGTACATTGATGGTACTGCTTTAAAAGTGAATTCATATGGGCTTGATGCTGACTAACTGAGGTTCTGACAAGGAACTGACAGTTTTTAATTTTGCTGTAGAAGTGTTAGAACTTACTGGGGTTAAACACTTGACTGGCTTTGCATACTTATCTTAGCAATGGTTCAGGTTGCAAAGAAGTTGTAATGCTTAAAAGTGTGAAGTGTAAGAAATGTGTCAGTGACAGTGTGGGTTCTGCTTAATGACTACTTGAGAATGTAGGAGGAAACAGAATCTTAACTGATAATGAAATTTTCCATAGGGCTAATTTACAAACAGCAAGCAGTTATATTTTGTGGTCATGTTTTTGCTTTTAGTCATAAGAAAAGCTTATCTGGACATTATGTACTGTGCTTGGGCATTTAGCTTTTGTGACTCACAAGAAAATAAATGGGCTAGACTGGGGAAGCATAGTCAGATGGTTAGCACAGGAGAATGGGAATCAGAGGATCTGGGTTCTATGTCTGATCTTGTCACTAACTCACTTTGGGCAAGTCACTTAAATGCTCTCTACCTCAGTTTCCTATTTCATAAAACAGGGCTAATAATACTTCCTTGCCTCACAAAGGGGTTGGGAGTGTTAATGAACTAATGTTTGTAAAGCATTTTGAGATCATTGGATGAAAAGTACTATTAAAGTTATTCATTTGCATTATAAGGAAGTGATGTGTAATTGCCTGGCTGGTGGTTACCCTTCATAAGTTTTTTGCTAGATATAAGGATCCATGACTCTTTAATCATATTGTATTTGCTATTTGTTTCTTTGTTTGGAGAAACATTCCACATACTAATTTTCCTTAGTGAAAAGAAGTTTCTCCCTAATTTTCCTTTGCCCTCTAGACCTTCTGATTCTGCTTTGAGGTATTCAGGAAGCTAGATTCTGCTTTTAGGTATTCATAGCAACTCCCACTAAAACCAATGGAAGTTGTGCTCATGTATCTTAGGGAAGAATTTGGCTCTCAGTTTCCATCCCATCATTTAAAAACTTTACACCAACTCAGATATTCCATCCTATTTTCTAGTTCTTACTTATGAGTGAACATATGGTTCTGTCTGTGCCCTTTTATATTTATTCTTTTCTAATGAAGTATAAGTTTAGTATTCCTACTCCCGTTCAGAAAGTCCAAAAATGCAGCAAACAAATGCAAATGAGAGGTGGGTGGTTTTTATTAAAGACATTTTCCAATTACCATTTTCTTTCTACAAAGAGTCACCATGAAAACATTAGTTTCTCAGCTACTCCTAAAATATGTAACAGTATTTTATTGAAAAAGCAAATGCTTAGGGTAGTCCAGTAATCACAATCTATATTTGATGGATTTGGGGACCAGATTATCCCACATCTGCCTATTGCAAGGCTTAGAACATAAGAATGGCCATACTAAGTTAGACCAATGGTCCATCTAGCCCTGTATTGTCTGCAACAGTAGCCAATGCCAGATGCTTCAGAGGGAATGAACAGCAGGGCCAGCTCCAGGTTTTTTGCCGCCCCAAACAAAAAAATAAAAGGGGGGGGGGCGGAGTGCCGCCCCTTTAAAAGTGACGTCCCAAGCACACGCTGGTGCCTAGAGGACAGGGCAATTTCGAGTGATCTATTCCTGTCATCCAGTCCCAACTTCTAGCAGGTGGAGGTTTAGGGACACTGGGCACATGGGGTTGTTTCTTGCACCTTCCTCTGAAACATCTGGTGCTGGTCACTGTTGGAGACAGGAAACCAGACAAGAAGGACATTGGGTCTGATCCAGTATCACAAGTCCTATTTTCCCGACTGCATGATCATACTGTGTACCTAAAGCCATAAATCATGTCTTGTTTAGCAGAAATTTGGACAGAAGAGCATATCTGAAGTAGATGTGTCACTGCAATGGTTCATGTTGTAATTAAATCTGATCTCCACTCCAGGTGACAGGTGTGTGTGCATGTGTGAAAGACTGTGATATCCAACTGAGTCACTGGACTAGCTTGTTTTCTTCTTTTAAATTATGTAAGTAAGTTTATGACGCAGAAATCAGTAAAGAGTCATTCAGAAAGAACTTTTAACGGTGATGCATGTACAAGAGAGCCAAGAGATGGAAACAACTGTGGCTGATGTAACTGAGTAGTTAACTAGCATAGGACAGGACAAATACTTTTTAGAGAATGGTAACCTCTTCACCTGCCCCCTGCCATCCTCACCCTTCCAAATAGTTGCAATTGTTATGTATGGAAAGAAAGGAACTGTAACAGAATTTGATTGGACTGATCAGTGCTTGTGCTGTATGTGATATATGGATTAAATATACTTTTATAAAGCCATTTCCTACTGCTCCTGATGTGCACTTGTCCCTTTCTTATATAGAGTGAGTGGCATATGACTGTAAAGATCACCCTGAAAGTAAGTTCTTTAATTGTCCTTGTTTTTCCCCCAAAAGGCAGGAAATAATTTCACATCTTTTAGTGTGCCACGTGGATTCAAATGTCAATGTTATACCATGTGTGAGTGTCAATTGGAATAGCTATCATTCTGTTCTTGCAATAGTGATTTTGCTTCTGACACATCGGGGAATAACATTTCAACCTTCTTTACAATGTGCTGAGCATCTTGCGATATCGAGCCCCTAGTGAATAGTGACCACATGTTTAGGCCCAATCTAGAGTAGAAAACTGGAGAACGCCCTAGAAAGACGCTTGTGATAATTTTCCATTCCTTCCTTCTCCCTATCTACAAAAATATACATTCCTATTTAATTAAAAAATTAAAGGTATCTGGGTAGTGTTGACAGATGCCTGTGCTGGCCCTCTGCACAGAGGTAAATTTTACCAATATCCACATTATTATTTTTATTGCAGTAGTGCCTAGGGGCCTCATTGTGGTAGGCTCCGTACAAAACAGAATTAGAGCCAGTCCTTGTCCCTGAGAGATTGAAATCAAAATGTATAAGACAGACAAAGTTAGTGAAAAAGGAAAGAGCACACAAGGAGAATGATAGTTTACAATCACCATGAATCAGTTCTGTAGGGGCTTTTCCAGGAGTGAAAGTAACTTAAAGGACTTACCGGTACGCCGGAGTCCTGAGTGGGGGCGTGGCCTCAACCGGAAGAGGTGGGGCCTTTCAAGATTTAAAGGCCCTGGGGCTCCAGCTGTGGCTGGGAGCCCCAGGGCCTTTAAATCATGCCGGCGCTACTAGCTGCAGAGGCCGCTGGGAGCCCCAGGGCGAATTAAAGCGCCTGGGGCTCCAGCCGCCGCGGAGCTCCGGGCCCTTTAAATCACTGCCCAAGCCCAGCTGCCGGAGCTCTGGCGGGGATTTAAAGGGCCCAGGGCTCCCCACAGCGGCCGGAGCTCTGGGCCCTTTAAATCCCCGCCTGAGCCTGGCTGCCGGAGCTCCGTCGGGGATTTAAAGGCCCTGGGGCTCCGTGCAGCGGCAGGAGCCCCGGGCCCTTTAAATCACCGCCATGGAAGCCGGTCC